TTGGAAGATCAGCTACGCTTGAAGTATTCCCACTGGCAACTCTATCTGCTGTACCCAGCGCCACTGAGGGTGGATCTGGACAAACTAGTCGCCATTTGCTAGAGCATGTCCGACTTGTTAAATGATGGAATGTAGACATCTACGTAGAGTTGTAAAGATTTTAAAATATTTAGTTTGTATCTTGTATGCTCTGAGCCCGAAACAGCTCCACACACGATCTGACATCATCATGTTCCTTCTGATCTCCCTTAGTTCCTTACAGTGATCATCCAGCATATTCACCAGGGTTCTGGACTGGGTGGAGTGTACTAGCAAATCTCCAAGGAGCAGTAGCCTAGCATGAACGATTCGGGAGTTCTGACAGCAAAAGCCAACCTCCTTCTAGTCCGACCCTTCCGAGATATTGGTGGAGCACGAGAGGGACCTTGCGCTGGGAACCGCCGCCCAGTAATACTAGGGTCACTGAAGAAGGCAAACGTCGACAGCGTAATGGCGACGCGTTCAATTTGAAAGTAAAGCAAGACAAAGTCTGCTTTTTTCTGAGGTCGTTCGACCCCACCTTGCGGAGAATATTCATAAAAAATTGGAGACTCTCAGGCTAGCAGTTCTTTCACCTCCGCCGTGTAGCCCTATCCTCGTGCCAACAAAGACAACCCAGTCTGAGCTCTAGCGCTCTTCTCCAGGAAGAAATTTTACGCTAAGTGACATGACCTCAAACCGACTTCCGATCTTTCTTCGATCAATAGCTCCTGGAATTTCTAGAGAAAGACAGCGACTAAATTCCCATGTATAGGCAATACATTGTAGATGACAGAGGTGTATGTTTGGATGAGCAAGGACTTCCACATAAAAAAGAAAAAAATTTGAATTCAAAAATACCCAAAGTGATTCACTAATTATGGGACAACCTAATATAAGGTCCCTCAAAGAAAGTACGCATCGCATCAGCCTATCCTTTATGATTAGTCATTCCTCTTAAAAATGGAAAGTGAGCCTGAACTTACCTCTAACATTTACACTGTTCGCTTGGAATTATTATGAATTTATGATGTCGTTTTGGTCAATGTGTTCATTTAAAGGCAGACTGAATCATGAATTAGATGTTGGAAAAGAAAGAGTGTCGTGCCTACTGTAAAGGGGAGGCTAGACCATCAAGGAACTGAACCACGCGCTTTCGCGTGAGACGTGACGGTGAAGGATACAGCGGGCACTAAAAGAAACCGCCGTCTAACTAAAGAGCCAAATTTCACGGAGGTCGAATGACAACAGAAGTATGCTAGGCTGACACTGTTTTCGTCATCATTCGCTCTTTCTACTGAAAGAACACTTCACCTCAAACGACCAGGTCATTCATCGGATCATCTGCCTTCTTAATGTTGACCCATCGTCGACAGATGGTGGCAAGCGACAACAGGGCGCTTACGCTGATGTCAGACATTTGCTTGCAACTAAACAAACTACTAACGAATCGCTGGGCAAGAGCGATGGGTCTGCGGTTCGAGCGGCGCACTAAATTTGTGTGTGGGAAGATGGCGCGAGCTCCCACGTCACCTCTTCCCAATTCCCGAGTTCTTGAGTTATAGCGAGTTGAGAAAATACGAGAGCCTGGAATCACTGGAGACCGCACGAATTCATTGGTGCACCGTGAACCGCAGGTGCACCGCCCCGCGATTCGTTGGATTTGCAAAACCTGACACCCGCCCGCCACAGTCACAGCCTCTAAGCCGATTCTCTTCAGGCCAAGCTGTACCCCTCTACTCTCCTTGTGAACACAAAAATAACGCATTCTCCAGCTGGCCCCACGAATGTAAAGGCAGAATTTGGGATATGAGTCGAACCCACGGCGCGTCCTTTGAATGTACAATAGATTCCGTCTCGAAGAAGCAACACAGTGCATTACCGAGAGATGCAGTCTTCACTCCACAATTTGCGACCGCCTACCTACGTTCGACTGACTGGACCTTCATAGACATGAGGGCGCTGACTCGAACATTTCGCCGTTCCTGCTCTTCATCGTACACGTGAATCATGCGCTCGGATCCTTTTGTAACTCTAAGGGGAAGTAATAGTACCTATAGGTGCACCTAAAGGGATTGACTAATTTTCGCTTTTTGCTCTCAATCGATTAAAGGAATCTTCACGGAAAAACCATAACTCTATTTCAGCCATAAATCGTTGGCTTGAGACTCATTATCCACCATTAGAATGAAAAGAACAGAAATTGCTTTTGTTTTGGTGCAAAATTCGAAAAATCGAAATGGCTGCTACGCGTTCAAATCGCCCACGGACGTCTTTCACAAATGCTGGCGACGGGGATGCTTCCACTTGGTTCTTGGAGTGCCTTCACTAGAAACTCTTTTCTGGCCTTCTGCTTTTATTGCATTCACATCTCACACTTCTACTCCATCCTATTCTATCGATCGATTTGTCTCTACTCTCCGAAATCGCGCGCTTTAACCCGATTCTTTCATTGCGTCGCCTGATACGTAGCCGGCCAAAGGCCAACTTCTTTCCATGCCTCGCCTTTGGCTCCGCCCGAATTACCTTCGATGTCCATAGTGTAGTTTTTGTACGTTTGTTTCTCTTCGGAAACCGAATGCGTGAAACTTTGTGTGCTGTTTCCAGTGATCACAACTGACACATTCATGTCAAGAAAGAATGCAAGAATTTTCCGCGAAGGATTCCTTTAAGTAGTTATCGAATCCTTGAGAATTATTGTGGCTGCAATTGAATGAGGGCCAAGGACATTCGTCGGCTCCATTCTTTGTACATGACTTTTCGTAGAAAATTTCTAGAAACTCAATTCAAGAGTCATGTGCAGAAGCTCAAAAAGTTCTCGCATAAGCATACTAACTATAAACAAACTCCCTAACAGTTTTTGAAAGTTATGAAACCATCATCTGATTTTGCACTCCCATACTTTACTTACTCCATAAATACAATATCTTATGACTACAATTTTGGTTAAAAACGCAGAATAAAACAAACAGAAACGCCTCAAAAACCAAACAATTGGAACGCGAAGCTTGTGCAACAGAAAACAATGAAAACAGCATAAAAGGCGATCATAGAAAACAAGTAACAATAAACAAAAACATTAAGAATACTAGATATAGACGTTCAGGGTGTAATTCGTTTCGGATCACGAGGGAACATCGAGGCGAGCCGAATGTTGTGCAAGCCCAAGAATAGCATCGTTACTCGCTCGAGACCTGCAATCAGGCAAAGTGCAAAACGATTTTCTACACAAGTTTGACTTGTCTGCACCGTGTAAGCCTAGAAACTGCGATACGGCTACTACTGATCACAGCAAGCAAAAATTTATGAGAACCTCTATAAGTACGGATATTTTCAGAACTGAATTCGTGATTAAGGCTGTGCCAATGTTCCCCATTAGTTTTATTTCTCATAGGATTTAGGTCCTCTGCTTTGAGACTCGTCGCTTGCCTTCCATCGCTGCTCTTACCGGATGATCCTGTAGCCTCCTTAGCACATGCCCATACCATCCAACTGCTGTTCTCGTACCTTCAGAAGAGAGTGGGCAAGTCTGACATATGCAGCTATGACATCCTCGTTCCTGACCCTGTCCAGTCGTGTCCCAGACCGCAAGACCATCTCAGCATTCTTATTTCGGCGTAGTAAGTGAAGACTCTGCCTATCGTGATTCTTGTTCCAGGCCCACCACTCTGCCGCTGCCGTATAGCATCGCACGTCCCACCGTTCGGTACAGAACCTTCCTATTTGAAGCGTTTCATGCTGAAGCATCTTCGAATCGTGTGAGAAATTGCAGTGGGCTTCCTAACAATTCATTAGGACCACGTAGACGCAGCGTGATCTTTGCCGTTAGAGCATGGTCCCTATACCGTCAGCGGCTAGATCACTCCCAAAGTATCGAAAGTCCTCCACTCTTTCGATACCTTCTTCAATTTAGTAAGAGAATTGAGAGGGTGCGAGACTTTTTCGAAACAAGCACCAGAAAGTCAATTCCTCCACATTGCATTGTGCCACATCTGTATGATGCTCTCCGAGTCAGATTTATTCTTATGAAATGAGAGCACGAGGAAATTTCGAAAATATCCTTTAAAAAACCGTGCTGTACCATGTGCAGCACGCGGTACGCAATGGGTTGTACGCACATCTTGCATGTCACAGCGTTAGTGTGGCGATCGAATTTTCTTGAAATAGGGAAATTAACATACCGATTCCGCCGCCAGCATGGGGTGGACATCCGTATTTAAACGAGTCAATATAGGCTTGGATCTTTTCAAGTTCTATATTGTGATGCTTGGCTCGTTCAACGAGGAATTCTGCGTCGTGAATTCGCTGCGCTCCGGAAAGAATCTCTTCACCTGTAACAGAAGAAGCTCAGCAGGTGCTCAGATCCACAGTTACAAAATTCGAAAAAAAAATGTCCAGTAGTTCGTACCGAACTCAAAGATTACTCACCTCTCATAAACATGTCGTAACTGTTAGAATACCTCGGATCATGAGGATCTGGCATGGTATAGAACGGACGTACGGCTAGGGGGAATTTGTCCAGAATGAAGAAATCGGTTTTGTACTTCTCCTAAGAATTACAATTTTAATTTACAGGCAAATGACCGTTGCTATCACTTTAATAACCAATGATAATAATAGTAATCTAATCCTTGATTTTTGGAAAATTAGCAACGCAATAATGAAGGCTGCGATTCCATCAAACTACTTATGCAATTCCGAGGATGTTTTTTAAGTGCGAAAGTTGAGAATCAAAAACTTCATCGTACATAAAACGTTACTTCAACAAAATATCCCCAGGTAATTGACTATCTTCTTCAATACTGAACTTCTATGGTCTCCCTATTAATACGCTACTTGATTCCATTCAATTGAACAGCAGGTTAACCAAGTATAGTGAAGCGATTGTTTATAAAACGATGTTTCTGTATGCAGCATGGTTTCACCTTCACAAGACGTCCTAGCTGCTTCTCCACAGGTGTGCTAAGATCATCCTCGTCGCCCATTTCAACACCGTCCTCTCGCAACATTTTCACTGCCTCTGGATATCTGAAAAGAACACGGTTTGCTTGTAAATGTGGGAAAGGGGGAGAGAGATATTACTATATTAATGTAAATAAAGATTAGCTACCCACTTTAGAATGAGTGCTGGCTCGCAAAACTCGAACGGTTCCGCAGGATACTGTCGCCCAACCGCTTCAATTTCAGCAGCATAGTCTCTTTTAAGGCCTTTGAATATGCTAATAAGAACAGCTCCGATCGTTTCCAACACCTGGAGAAGGGAAAAATTTCCTGTTGAGAGATGGAGAAATATTATGGATGACGAAAGATTTATGTCTGCAAAATAAAGAAGCAAGCAACAAGCAAAAAAGGAGAAAACGAAGGAACGAAAAAATAAGCCAACTGCAGAAGGTGAACAAAATAACCTCGTGATAATGGAAGTTGAAGGCCATTTCCAGATCGAGCCCTACAAACTCCGTCATATGTCGATGGGTGTTTGAATCCTCAGCTCGGAAGACACCACCGATGGTGAAAACCTGGTAAAACATAATGTGAAAAGAAAAAAAAGAAGCACAGAAGCACTCACCTTTCCAAAATCGCCGGCAATAGCCATCTGCTTGTACAGCTGAGGAGACTGCGCCAAATATGCAGAACCTTTGAAGTATGACACCTGTAAATTAAGTGTGAATAGTACACCGAGTATCGCAAGTTGAACGTGCCCATAAGGTGAAAGAGGGACTGAAAAACATGGAAAGGTTTTTTTCGAAATCTGGGAGGTCATGGCTTACTTGATGAAACTAAACCAAATTGCGAGGGGTGAGGGGTAATAAAGGCAACATGGAAAGAGGGCAGGGTCTCTTTTGAACTAAATAAGCATGTTAAACACTCACCGTGAAAACGTTGGCACCTCCTTCACTGGCAGCGGAGATAATCTTGGGGGTATGAATCTCAATGAATCCACGCTCAGTTAGAGTATCACGAAACAGTTTGCAGACACCAGCCTGCAGTGAGAAAATGCCTTGAGTCGTTGTCGTCCGCAAATCTAGTACACTGTAAAGTACATTGAAATAAGTGAAATTTAACTTAACAAATGGTGGTCTTGTGAGTCCAAAATGGAAATTATAACACACTACCAAACAAAACCGAGCACATGAGTGATAAATATGTTTACAAACCAGTATGAAACAGATGAATTACATTTAAAAGCTTTCACTTTGAACAGTAGATATTGAGAAAAGCCACGAACCGGTTATCCAGCCTTGTATCAAGGTTCACTGCTGCCAGACCGTCAGCGCTGTCTGCCCGTCGGCTGGCATCTTCAATTTGAAGAGGAAGTCGCGGCTCCGCTGCTGACACAACGAACACCTTTAACAAATTGCTACATCAACTAAGGTCATAGGTTAGATAATTTTCACCATGTGATGAACTTTCTTCGGGTTACATTGGGATAAAACTTTTTGAAGTCTTATGCGACAGTCAAATACTACTTAATGATCGTATCAAAATACCTGAATTGCGTGAAGTTCGGCATTTTTCTGCGTACATGATTCAATCTGCGCATCAACCTTTTCTACTTGACCTTGAATGTCCACAATAGATTCCTGCAACATGGATTCAACAAGGATAGAATAGGAATGTATAAGCTGATCGCTATTAATATAATGAATTCCAAAGAAAAAAAAGGGAGCCATATGCTGAATCTCCCGGCCATGGGAAAAACATCCTTAAGATCAATTTTTCCCAAAACTCCTATCTACACCAAGAAAAAGCGTGTTGGTAATGTATGTGTGTCCATAAAAATAAAATGTTCTCGAGGAAAAAAACATTTCATAAAAAACAAATGAAGAACAAACACAACAATCAAACAAATAAACTTCTTTTTCCAACCAGCATGAAAGAATAGAAAGAAAAGAGAAAACTACTAAGACTAAAATTGAATTACCTTGGAGATATTTGAGACGAATTTCAGCATCTGCTTGCTTATTTTTTCACCCACGAAAAGAGTCACCTCAAAAGAATATAAATTCGATGAGAAAGTTTTGAAAACCTAAAGAGGGTTTAAGGGTCGCGAACCTGTGCAGTGTAGAACTGCTGCCTCAGGACAAGGAAGCATGTTTTTCCTTTACTGCGAATTGCGTGAACGCGACCACGGACCCAAACCTGAAAAACCATACCAACGATGCAATGCAAACAGCATCCAAAACAATTAATGACATGGCAGTTACTTGCACATTACAAAGTTACTGCACATTACAAAGCAAACAACATGGAACCAACCCAGCAACAGTTAATTCTTCTAAAATACTTTGCGTAGTGACGATGTCGTCACCCGATGACGGGCTACTCTTCAGAATTAGAACAGATTCCAAAACTCACACATCCCAAAAGAAGAACTTTTTAATATGTTCCAATTTGTTCAGACGCTTTCTGCGCACCCACACAGCTATAATGAAGGTCGAATGCCGGGGCAAATTTATCACATGACACAGAATCTATCACCTACGCTATTTCGAAATAACACTGTAAACATGATTCGCGATTAACTGGCGAGTTAACGTCACAGGAAGTCTGACTCATCAAAAAGGAACGCATCTGGGAAGCTAGGACGGTATCCGTACAAAAACGCCAGCGAATGTCACCCGTTGAGATAAGGGCCTTGAAGACGTTCATTAATCAGCACATTGATCGACAAAGCCAATCACAAATGATGGCGGTTTGGGTCACAGACACACGGCTGAGCACAAGTACGTGATGTGCAACCGAGCTCGCAGCTCATTGACTACATTTCGAAGGCGCAACTTTGTGTGAGGAAGTTTAGAACTGCTTCCTCCCAGCACTCTACAGGAGGTGTCAAACTTGGCGACCAATCGCAAGCGAATCGCGCGATTCCTGGCGATTGTTCGCAATATTTGACGTCTGCCATACGAGTATTTTTTGAATATAAAAAGAATAGACATCTCACCTCTTGACCATGAATATTGGCGTCGATCTCACTTAATTTAGTGAAGACGATGTCCTTTTTGTCAGTCGACTGGAATCATACCATAGCTGCCGTACATCCCTACTGAGACATCTTCAGTTTCCTCTTCCTTAGGCTGAGACGAAGCCTTCTAAACACATATCCGAAGAAACTTTGCAATTGACCTACACTTTAAACTGTCATTAACGAAAACGAAACCTACTTGAGCTTTTAATTCAGCTATTTTAGCGGCCTTTGCCAGCTTATTTAACTCCTTTTTGGAAAGTTTCTTCTCGGCTCCTTCTGCTACGTCATTCATATCCTTCTCATCCAAAACGACCGACATTTTCACCCTGGAACTATCAGGTAAATAAAAAAATTATTAGCTACATCACACCGAGGTCCATATCTAGTGGAGCACAAACTCGCATTAGGTTTTGAGGAAAGTTCTTGCTGTTTCGGACCCTGAAGTCTAAGTCTGCATATCTCGATTCAACCAAACGTTTTCATACGTAGTAAGGAATCATTACAATCTACTCTATCTTGTCAACCTTATTAGAGTTCGATCAACCAGTTCGCTGCAAGGACTGGAGTTCTAAAGGTCGTTTAACCACTTGTTAGACTTATTACTATTTTTCTTTAAGGTGCTAGCCAGAAGATTGGAAAAGTGGCAGTGAATAGGTAGGAGGATTAGTGAGTCAGGCGTTTGTAATACAATTCGATACTCTAGCTAGATCATTTTTTTGCAAGGGTCGATTCTGCGGTCGAAGACTGAGGTGCATCGCAGAGAACTCGGCTTTTTTCCGGCAGCCTTTGCTGGGCGCATGTGTCGCGTCTTCGGGGTAATTTAACACCTTGTGCAGAATACTGTCCCACTGCAATAGTTCCGCCTGTGCTCGGAGAGCTGCGCCTGCTGTAGACCGCGTAACAAGGCAGCACAACCTTCTCCTCGTGCAGTTTCACCTTTGCAAAGTTTTGTTGACCCTAGTCGTGATCGAACTACTCAGCCAAAGTTCATAGGTTATTGTGAAGAATCCATTCTATTCATAGGTTACAATCCCAGTAGAAATGGATCGTTTTCTTTGGATGAAGACGGTAGAAGAAGGGCAGAGGGATCTGCGAAAACCAGGTTTTTGGCGTCATTCCCTTATTCTCCTCAACGACTTTGCGGGATACTCTACTACTCTATGTAACTATGTATTGAAACCATGAATCAGTAATGCACAATTCAGTAGCGGCCTTCTTAACAGTTCAAGCACATTTGGTTCCATCAAATGTTTCAGCTAATTTTTACCAACGTTCGATATCCAACGACCACCCTCAGCCACCTTCGAGGCTCTCGCCATCCCTACACAAGCTCTCCAAACTATTGCTGCACAACGCATTTTCCGCAAATGCGAGACCAAATCGAATAATTCATATCATCAGCTGCTTCCGCTCCTTTGTGCCCTTATTCGAGTTAGAAAGAGAAAAATTTGTTGCTTGTTAAGCATGATTCAAGGCTTTGAAAAAGTGGGAACATTAGGTTTTAAGAAAAGCTGAGAGTACCGTCGGACAGAGCAAGAACTGCGCTCCCTAACAAGAAGCAATGAGTAGCTTCTCCCAAGAATTTAGTGGAAAATAATGCCTTG